GTCGATCCACAGTCCCCGCGGCTCCCACAGCTACAACCCCAGCAACACCCGCAGCTGGATCAGGATCAGGATCAGGATCTGGGCCTGGATCGGGAGCGGGGTCAGGAGGCGGAAATGGAGGAGCCGGTGGATCGGGATCATATGATACAGAACTTACGGGTCCAAGAGGGTCTACCCCCATTTCAGGCCCTACAGTCACGCTTCCCACAGTTCCAACAGATCCCACAGTCACACTTCCTACAGTTCCTACAGACCCCACAGTCACACTTCCCACAGTTCCCACGGGTCGATCCACAGTTCCCGCGGCTCCCACAGCTACAACCCCCTCATTTCCCGCAGCATCTTCTACAACTCCTGCAAGTTCCACACTTCCCCCAGCTCCTGAATACAACCCATTCAATGCTCCATTGCCAGCACAGTCAAGCCCTCAGGTACACATGCTGATAATCCATGTTCTTGATTCCATTTGAACCTTTTCAGGCTGGAGGAGGAGGAGCCTATGTACCTCCAGGCCGCGATACAGACGAATTTGGGGTCACGCTAACTCCAGTAGGTGGTTCGGGCCCTGCGTCTTCCAACACTCAGGTACGAGAGAATCACGTTTGCTATGGTTAAAAAAAATTTTTTTTTGAAACTGTTATAGGGTAATGACATTGGCGATGGGACCATGCAAAACGGCGGCTATGGTCGATTTAGCCGCTATATGATGCAGGTCTTCTAGTCTGTCATGTGAATTTAGTGAAAGATTTATGGGTATTATTTGCATTGTTTGTTATTATTAATAAAGTATCAAATAGCTTAGTGTCACCAAGATGAAGAGTAAAGGCCGATATACCCAATTCGTACCATTTTTTAGGGTTATGATAATTTCATCATCAACATTAGCAGTTCTTTCGAATCTTTGCACGTCTGCTTTCCTATTTATTGCGCATAAATCGCCTGAAACCAGTAGGCAGTAGCCTAAAATATTCCCTAGTACTCAGTATGAATTATCAGGGTTAGATTTTTTAAAGATTTTTTGAAATTTTCTTCTCAGAGGATTTCCAAGCAGAACAAAGAAATTGTGATGTGACATTTGGTACATCGTTTTCATCAAAAATTCGTAAACACGACAATTTTTCTGGATATACATTGAGTAAATAAACTGACCTCCCCTTCGTACGTTTGCATCTCGGAATCGTAGAGAAACAGCTTTTTCCTTCCAACTTTTGCATAGCCAAGAAGACGGCTGACATTCTTCTCCCTAAAAGGGTTAATAGGGCCACTTGTTTTGTTTGACTAAATAGACAGCAATTATGAGAGTAGCATAATTCAATCATAAAAATTCAGTTTTTAGCAATTTATGAGGACTGCGGTGTGATTATGTACTCTCAAACTCCAAAGTGGCAAAAGAGAAAAAGAGAGGAAAGAATACGAAAATACGGAAGGGCTAAGAGAAGAATTTGGTTATGATATGTATTAAAAACGGCCTGTAGAGTGTAATGAAAAAATTTGGACCAAAATGAAACGATGCAGCGATGTGAAAAATTAACTCACTCATCGAATTCCCAGCTAAGGTACAGGGTATGGTCGGACATTACCAGTTTCTCGCATGATGTCAAAGGAGCTCGAACTTGCATACATTGTGCAGAGAGTTTTGCCAAATCGTCTATCGCTTTGTAGACTACTGGTGATCTAAAATTTGAGCTTATGTTTCCACATCTAACATTTGCTTCAGAGCAATTTTGCATAAAGCGTTATCAATTTTTGGTTTTGTCCCACACCTCCAGCACTAATTCATTTTTTGGCATAGAATACGGTTGATACTGAGAGGTTCTTGCAGGGACATGTGTGTCAAAAACCTAAGGTGGAACTAAACTTGTTTTTTTTCTGGAGGATTTGACGATTGTGATGAGAAAAAATTACGTCGGTATTACGTTACAGTATAATTATCTTACTAAATAGGGTTTCCGTGGCTCATTTGTTATACAAGCACGAGATATAACTTGGACCGCACTCTTCTACATTCAAGGTCTAGTAATTGAATCATAATCGTAATCAATCATTTATATGCTACGAAACTAAAAAGGAGAAGCGTAGGTCTTTCATCCATCACTTCGCATTGACGCAACCAAGTAGTAAATAATTTCTCAAAACTTTCTGTAGCTTCTCAACAAAGCGAGTTACGTATGCACCAAATTGCTTCGTAAACTATCAGAAAAAAACAGTCACATCGTCATTCATTATCTGAAGAGCTTCACTAATCACTTACTGTAACTGCTTGATTCGCATAGGGTCCAGGCGAACTAGCGCTGGACCGAGAATTGGACGCAGGTCAGCCTCAACCTCCATGCCGCCAGTACCAGAACGCAATGAGTGCTGTCAGCACCCATGCATTGCTGACCAGAAAGAGCCCACTCTGCATGCATGACGAGCTTCAGCTGCGTCTCCAGCAGTTCCGTAGTCGTTGCTG